GCCCCCGCTTGTTGCTGGCGGGTGCGGGCGTCTGGGGTACTTTTCTGCTGAGAGTTGCTTTTAGGCACGTAATCTGTGGGCCTTATTTAATTTTTCCTCCCAGTTAGATTGCCGAAAACTTCCCCCAGTCCCGCCAGTGCGAGGGTTTCCTGGTGATTGGAAACTTCCTCTGTTAAGACTCCCTTCCCGGGACGGGTCACCGTCCGTAGCTCTTTTGTCTCCCTTTTTATCTTTTATCTTTTGTCCTACCTCCCTTTGAAGACAATGGGCTGCTTTTCTGGGCGCCTGATGTCCTCTGCTAGCGATCAGAAGTTGTTTTGTGAAATTTGCTCAGCATTCAAATGTTCTTTCGATGAATTTGTAGGGGAGAAAGTGGTCTCCCCGTCCTGTTCCTCCGCCATCTTGGCTCCTCCCCCTAAATGTACAGATGTTGACGCCTGCATCTAATTCACTTCTGAATCCTTCACAAACCCCACTCACTACTCGATGCATGATACAGCCTTGCTAAAGCTTTGTTGAATTAGTTTTTTTAAAAAGTAAATAGTCTGAACCACTTATTTGCATACCTCTGGAGTTACCTTAACAGAAATGGGAGCCTTATTCAAAACAGACTAAGAGAAAGACCCAAGGGAGCACAGATTTTCAACTTGTGGTTTCCGATATTCGCAGATCATGGGTGCCTATTGCTTGCTGTCTCTTGACACTTCCACATTCAGTACAGTGCAGTTCCTTGCTTTGATCTATTTTCTTTCATGCTTCACGGAGCATGTAGTTTCAGGCCAGGTGTTAAAAGCTATCCATAGGGGCTAGCTGTCTGGTGGTGGATCTGAAAAGAAGGAGCTATCAGAGTCTGAGACACTCACTGAGTCACTCACTCTGGAGGTGAGGACAGCTCAGCTTCAGCTTTCTGAATTTCTGTTCTCCCCTGAGGCTCTCAAAATCTGTCAGAATTCTTGGTTGTAGGCAATGCAAGCAGACATCAACTGATTTAGCCTCACTGATTAAAATGGCATTGGGCTGCTTGTAGGGTTGCTGGCAGAATAGGAGATCCAGGCTTGGAGGTAGGGGAGCAAGGCCCCACACCCACAGTCGTGCCTCTCCGAGGTCGGGGGAGGACTCCCCTGCCCCTGTCAGATGCTGTTCTCTCTTGCTGACCTGGCAGCACTTCTGTGCCAGGTAGAGGACACAGGATACGCTGGGGACAGCGTATAACCGCTGCTGCCTTGGAAGTGTGATCTTGCCACCACCTTTGGAGAGGGAGGGCCTCAGAGTCACCTCTTCTTTGCATCACTAGCACTGGATTCACAGTCCAGAGTGGTGCTTCTGATTGGTGGGTCCTGGATCCTAGACCCATAGCTACTTGCAGGGGGTTCCTGGAAAGGTAATGTCTGGAATTTCAGTTTTTATAATGGCGAATGGGCTCTGCCTTTCTTGAAGACTCATCAGAAAGGCAACTCCTCAAATAAACAGTAGGCGGCTAAAAGAAAAGACAACTGTCCATGATATGAACTAAACTATACCAATCGGGCTTCCAAGGTGGCTCAGTGGGTAAAGAATCTGCCCGCAGAGCAGGAGCTGCAGATGTGGGTTTGATCCCTGGGTTGGGAAGATCCTCTGGAGTAGGAATGGCATCCTTCTCCAGTGTTCTTGCCTGTGAAGTCCCCTGAAAGGAGCCTAAGGGGCTGCAGTCCATGGAGTCCAAAGAGTCGGACATGGCTGAGATGACTGAACACTCATCCCAAAGTCACCTCCTCTAAGAAAGAGGATAAAAACTTCACTGTACGCAGACTCTTAAAAACCAAGCCAAAACAGAAACTACCAGTAGTAACCATGATAGCAAGGAGATACTTTATTCCTTGCCTTTGAAAATCCTGCTTATCATGAGAACCATTTGAAGTGTAACTGCTTATAGTTTACGATATGAGGAGCTTTTAATTTTGCCTAAATATTTTACTTAAGGGAGTTTTGCTTTTTCTTTTTCCCCTTTAGAAATCTATATTATTGGTGGGCTATGTTATCGGGTTGGTGTGGGTTACTTTTCATTCATGGAGGTAGATAAATTATATATAGGGATTATGCTTCTAGAGACTTCCAAATGGAAGAGCTTCAATCCTTAAAATCTCTGTGGGGATAATGAGGTTTTTCTTAACTCATTTAGTTAATATCTCCTTGGATTGAACCAGAAGTCAGAATTAGAGCCTAATAGGCCATTTCAATTTAGATGGGAAAAAAAAGTGTCCTATTTCATTAGGCTTGTACTATGTTACTTCGTCACCAAAGGTTTCCAGGTCATGTAATTTCACTTGTACACAGAGGTGCAGACTCAGAGCGCTGGGCGCGAGGCGTGGTGGTGAGAAAAAGAGAGAGTGATATGGTGGGAAGGGTGAGAAGTTAGGAATGGAGGTTCCTGAATTGTGCTGGACAAGATTACCCCCCAGAGAGCAGCCTCCCAGCCTAAACCCTGCTGATGTTGGACCAGTTATTTCAGACAGTCCAACATAGTCCAAAGCATTGCTACAAATGAATTGGGGTTGTTCTAAAATGATCTTCACCTCCTCATTGACAATAGCAAGTCTTGATCCAAGGGAACATAGGGAGTAGATATTAATATATACACACATATATAATACTTATACACATCATTGTTTAGTTAATTAGCAGATTAATTCACTCTGTAACTATTTGCTGCTGCTGCTGCTGGTGCTAAGTCGCTTCAGTCATGTCTGACTCTGTGCGACCCCATAGATGGCAGCCCACCAGGCTCCCCGTCCCTAGGATTACTAAGACCCTATTATCTACTAAGCATCACAGTGTTTTTTGTGATGCTACCTCATCTAATTGCTACCTTATCTAATAATCCCTCTAACAACCCCATCCTCTGTAGATCTAATTCCTTCCCCTATTTGAAAGATAAGACAGTGAGGTTCAGAGAGCTCAAGAGGCAGAAGAACTTGAATCCACATCACTTGTCTCCAAAGTCTGTGATTCTAGTCACTGTTTCTTGTGATCTGAATACCACCTCTGGATACTTAGGTGACCAGCAGACAGTATCTACCCTCCTTGGTGGTTGGACATCAGAAAAGAAAAGAGACATCACCATATGGTGTGATTTATTCTGTAACTCTACTGTGCGGACTTTGGGGTTTGTGCTTGCTCAGTCGTGTCTGACTCTTTGCAACCCTCTTGACTGTAACCCACCAGGCTTCTCTGTCCATGGGATTATCGAGCAAGAATACTGGAGTGGGTTGCCATTTCCTACTCCAGGGATCTTCTTGACCCAGGGATCGAACCTATCTCTGCATTCTTTGCAGCTCACTGTATTGGCAGGCAAATTCTTTACCACTGATCTACCTGGGAAGCCCAATACTGTTGTATCAGGAGCCCAGAGAAGAGATATCTAAGCCAGCCAAGGTTTGGATAGGACGTAGTTCATGAAGGCTTTTATGTTTTCTAAGGTTCTTCTTTTTTTTTTAGTGATAAAATTTGGTAATGAGTTTGATGTCTTTTTAATTAAATTAATTAATTTATTTATTTAGGCTGCACACTGTGGCATGTGGGATCTTAGTTCCCTGACCAGGGGTTGAATCTGTGCCCCCTACACTGGAAGCTTGAAGTCTTCACCCCTGGACCACCAGGGAAGTCCTCACGAAGGCTTTTTTGAAGGAGGTAAAATGAGCTAAGTGATGAAGGGTGGCCAAGATGTTTCACAGGAAAAAGATACGTACAAGCATAGAAGTGTGACGTGGAACTGGCACACACCTGTTCCATGGCTCGTGTGTATAAAAGGAGACACACATAGAGGAGAATCTGAAACATGGCTAGAAAGATATGCAGAAGTGTAGGTGAAGAAAGGGTACAGATTTGAGAACCACTTGGGGAGTAGATTCAGCAGAACTTGGTGACTGATTATATATGAGGAGTGTGGGATCCATAAATTTTTAAAAGGAGTATCTTTTAGAGTAGTATTAGGTTTACAGGAAAACTAAGAGGAAACAAAGGTTTCCCTTATATCCACCCCCACCACGTGCATAGTCTTCCCATTACAAACATCCCCCAGCTAGAGTGGTACATTTATTATACAGATGAACCTATGTTGACACATTACTATCCAAAGCCTGTAGTTTACATTAGGATTCACTCTTGGTGCACATTGTATGTGTTTGGACAAATGTGTAATGGCATGTACCCTTTATTATAGTACCATATACTTATATATATCTTTGTTTAATTCATTGCCCTTCAAATCATCTGTGCTCCATCTGTTTATCTTTCCTTCCTTAATACCCCTTGACAACAATATCCATTGTCTGGACCCACCACAGTTTATTTATCCATTCACTTACTAGAGGATATCTTAGTTGCTTTCATTGTTGTTGTTCAGTTGCTAAGTTTGTCTGACTCTTTGTGACCCCATGGACTGCAGCATCCCAGGCTCCTTTGTTCTTCACTATCTCCTGGATTTTGCTCAAAGTCATGTTCTTTGAATCAGTGATGCTATCTAACCATCTCATCTTCTGGCGTGTCCTTCTCCTATTACCTTCAATTTTCCCCAGCATCAGGGTCTTTTCCAATGAGTCAAGTGTTCGGATCAGGTGGACAAAGTATTGAAGCTTCAGCTTAAGCATCAGTCCTTCCAATGAATTCAGGATTGATTTCCTATAGGATTAACTGGTTTGATCTCCTTTCAGTCCAAGGCACTCTCAAGAGCCTTCTCTAGTACCAAAGCCTTCTTTATGGTCCAACTCTCACATCTGTACTTTACCACATAGCTTTGACTATACAGACTTTTGTCAGCAAAGTGAGGTCTCTGCTTTTGAATATTCTGTCTAGGCTTGTCAAAGCTTTTCTTCCAAGAGGCAAGTATCTTTTAGTTTCATAGATATGGCTACAGTCACCATCTGCAGTGATTTTGGAGCCCAAGAAAATAAAATCTGTCACTGTTTCCACTTTCCCCTTTCCCCCCTTCTATTTGCCATAAAGTGATGGGACCGGATNACATTTTGAGTGAAACACTTTAACAGCATCATCTTTTAGGATTTTAAATAGCTCAGCTGAAATTCCATCACCTCCACTAGCTTTGTTGATGCTAATGCTTCCTAAGGCTCATTTGACTTCACACTCCAGGATATCTGGCTCTAAGTGAGTAACCATGCCATAGTGGTTATTTGGGTCATTAAGACTTTCCTTGTATAGTTCTTCTGTGTATTCTTGCCACTCTTCTTAATCTCTTGTTTCTGTTAGGTTCTTACTATTTCTGTCCTATATTGTGCCCATCCTTGCACGAAATGTTCCTTTGATAGCTCCAATTTCTTTGAAGAGATCTGTAGTCTTCCCCATTCTATTGTTTTCCTCTACTTCTTTGCATTGTTCATTGAACAGGGCCTTCTTATCTGTCCCTGCTATTCTCTGGAACTCTGCATTCAGTTGGGTGTGTTTTCCTTTCTACCTTGCCTTTTACTTTTCTTGTTTCCTCAGCTCTTTGTAAAGCCTCCTCAGACAACCACTTTGCCTTGTTGCATTTCTTTTTACTGGGGATAGCTTTGGTCACTGCCTCCTGTACAATGTTATGAACATAGTTCTTAATACACTCAGTCTACCAGATTCCAAGTTTTAGCAATTATGAATAAAGTTGCTATAAATATCAGTGAGCAGATTCTTGTGTGAACATAAAGTTTTCATCTACTTTGGGTAAAGAAGAAGACGTATGATTGCTGGATCATATGGTCAGAGTATGTTTAGTTTGTTAAGAAATCACAAAACTATCTCCTAAAGTGGCCGTACCATTTGCATTCCCACCAGCAATGAATGACGGTTCCTGTTGCTCCTCACCAACTTTTGGTGTTGTTAGAGTTCTGCATTTTGGCCATTCAAATTGTGTAGTGGTATCTTATTGCTTTAATTGACATTTTCCCTGATAACATATGATGTGGAACATCTTTTCATATGCTTATTTGCCATCTGTATATTTTCTTTGATGAGGTATCTTTGAAGGGCTTTGGTGCATTTTCAGACTGGACTGTTTCTTTTCTTATTGTTGACTTTTAAGAGTTCTTTGTGTATTTTGGAGAACAGTATTTTATCAGATGTGTCTTTTGCAAATATTTCCTCCCAGCCTGTGGCTCGTCTTCTCCTTATTTTGACATTGTATTTCACAGAGCAGAAGTTTTAAATTTTAATGAGCTCTAGTTTATCAATTATTTCTTTCATGTATTATGCCTTTGGTGTTGTTTCTGAAAAGTCATTACCATACACGAGGAGCCATATCCCAGATTGTCTCCTATGTTATTTTATAGGGGCTTTATAGTTTGAAGTTTTAAATTTGGGTCTGTGATCCATTTTGATTTATTTTTTGTAAATAGTGTAAAGTTTGTGTCTAGAGTCTTTCTTTTTTTTTTTTGCATATGGATGTCCAGTTTTTCCAGCACCATTTGTTGAAAATAGTGTCTTTGCTCCACTATATTGCTTTTGATCCTTTGTCAAAGATTAGTTGACTATATTTATATGTGTCTGTGTCTGGGTTAAATTATTATTTTATTCATAGTGTTAATGGGCACCTGCTTGATACCAAGTACTGTAGTAAATTTTGGAAATACAGGCTACAATAGGAGAGATGTCATCCCTATTCTCATGGATTGTACAGTGTATGGAAAAGAAAGGATCAAAGATATCCCAAGATGTGTAGTTTGGATGATGGGTCAGGAAACCCAGAAGCAGCACTAGGTTGATGTGGGAAGATGCTTAGTTTGGGGGAGTTTGACATTTCTTTGTTTCATTAAAAACAGCCAGTAGGTAGTTGGGCATTCAGATGTGGAGCTAGGAGAGCTTGAGCTTGAGATATGGATTTGGGCACCATCTTGCATGGATATGCTAGTAGAAACCATGCATTAAGTGTGATTGCTCAAGGAATGTGTATGGGGCTGGTGGGGAAGAAAAGGAGTCAGACAATGGAATTCTGAGGAACTCTAGCATTTACAGGAAGAGGAATGGAAAGGACTACAGAGAAATTGCAAACCGGTGGTCAGGGAGGTAGGAGGGAACTGTGAGAGAGTTGTGCTATGGAAGCAAAGTTGTTATGAACCGAATTGTGCTTCTCTCCTCCTACCCCACACCAAGATTCATCTGCTGAGGCCCTAATTCCCAACGGACTGTGTTTAGAGGTTGACTTTAAGGAGATAAGTCGCTCAGTTGTGTCTGACTCTCTGCGACCCCATGGACTGTAGCCTACTGGACTCCTCCGTCCATGGGATTTTCCAGGCAAGGGTACTGGAGTGGGTTGCCATTTTCTTCTCCAGGGGATCTTCCCACCCAAGGGATCAAACCCAGGTCTCTCGCATGGTGGGCAGATGCTTTACCATCTGAGCCACTAGGAGATAAGTAAGGTTACATTGGGCTTTCCTGGTGGCTCAGCTGGTAAAGAATCCACCTGCGATGTGGGAGACCTGGGTTTGATCCCTGGGTTGGGAAGGTCCCCTGGAGAAGGGAAAGGCTACCCACTCTAGTATTCTTACCTGGAGAATCCCCAGGAAAGTTGAGCAACTCCAAGGGATGAGAGAGTTTCAAGGATTATTTAAAGAGAGATAAATGTCAACAAAGGTAAGAGTAGACATGTGCTTTCTGAATTTGGTAATCCTGTGACCCTAGCAAGAGCAAGGAAGGACCAAGGTCAGAAGACAGGCTGCAGTGAGTTTAAGGATTACATCAGCAGGAGGAGGGGACCACATGTTTTATACACAAGCATAGCCTACAGCAATATGTGAAAACTTCCAAATGTTCAAGCTGGTTTTAGAAAAGGCAGAGGAACCAGAGATCAAATTGCTGATATTTGCTGGATCATCAAAAAAGCAAGAAAATTCCAGAAAAACATCTATTTCTGCTTTATTGACTATGCCAAAG